ACCTCCTCCCTCACCCCCATCCCAGGCCCCAAGAAGACTTTCCACATCAAGCAGATGTTCACCTGCACATCTGCCAATGTGGTATACTGCATCCGCTGTACCCGGTGTGGCTTCCTCTACATCGGGGAAACCAAGCGGAGGCTCGGGGACCGCTTTGCAGAACACCTACGCTCGGTTCGCAATAAACAACTGCACCTCCCAGTCGCGAACCATTTCAACTCCCCCTCCCATTCCTCAGACGACATGTCCATCCTGGGCCTCCTGCAGTGCCACAACGATGCCACCCGAAGGTTGCAGGAACAGCAACTCATATTCCGCTTGGGAACCCTGCAGCCCAATGGTATCAATGTGGATTTCACAAGTTTCAAAATCTCCCCTCCCCCTACCGCATCCCAAAACCAGTCCAGCTCGTCCCTGCCTCCCTAACCTGTTCTTCCTCCCACCTATCCCCTCCTCCCACCTCAAGCCGCACCTCCATCTCCTACCGACCAACCTCATCCCGCCCCCTTGACCTGTCCGTCCTCCCTGGACTGACCTATCCCCTTCCTAACTCCCTACCTACACTCACCTTTCCTGGCTCCATCCCCGCCTCTTCGACCTGTTTGTTTCCTCTCCACCTATCCTCTCCTCTATCCCTCTTCTATCCGCCTCCCACTCTCTCCCTATTTATTTCAAAACCCCCTTCCCCTCCCCCTTTTCTGATGAAGGGTCTAGGCCCGAAACATCAGCCTCTCTGCTCCTATGATGCTGCTTGGCCTGCTGTGTTCATCCAGCCCTGCACCTTGTTGTCTCGGATTCTCCAGCATCTGCAGTTCCTACCATCTCTAATACAGTAGACTTGACGGCTGAGTGCACGTAAATTGGTTTCACCTGGAAGTTGTGTCTGGAACCTTGATAGCGAGGGGGGAGGAGGTAAACGGGCAAGTGTTACACCTTCTGCAATTGCCGTGAGTGTCTAGTGAAGTGTTGGGATTGGAGGAGGAGTGGACCAGGGTGCGCTGGAGGGAATGGTCCTTGCATGAAGCTGATAAGGGAGGGGAATGTGTGTCTGGTCGTGGCCTCCTGCTGCAGGTGTCTGAAATGTGGCTTATGATTCTTTGGATGTGGATGTTGGTGGGGTAATAGGTGAGGACCGGGTACCATATCAGTGTTGTAGAAGGGAAGAGAAGGGATGAGCGCAAAAGTGCATTAAATGGGTCAGACTCAGCTGAGGGCCCTATGGTGCTGGGGAATCCTCGGTTAAGGAAAAAGATGGACATTTCAGACCATCCTCTGCGGAAGGTAGCATCATCAGAACAGATACGACAGAGATGGAGAAACTGGGAGAAAAGAATGGAGTCTTTACAGGAAGCAGCATGTGAGGATGTATAGTCCATGTAACTGTGGCAGTCACTCCGCGTGTTTATAGTGGACACCTTTAACCTGGCTATGAAAGAAACGGTCACCTCAAGTCTAATCGGATATGAAGTTAACAATAATGGTAATAATGAAGATCCAACACAAATTCCTTTCACTGCCAAAGATTTTGTGTAAAAAAGTATCGAATTTTCAGACAACTGTTAACAAATCAATGATGATGTCAGGCTACCTTCCTACTGCTTTAATTTAGTTGCAGCATTTTAGTTGAGATGACTGCTAAAAAAAAAGTACTTTTTGTACTCTATTGATGTGGGAAGTATTCAATGAGCCCAGCTAAAGCTGGAGTTGAGACTTGCTAGGACAGAGTAGAGGGAAATCAATACTCTGTTTCTTCAGTTCTGGCTTTACTTGATCCAAAATTATGAAATATTAATACTGGGTGCTTAAAATGAAAGTTTGTTTCTTTTGTAAGTCAAACTATTGTTAAAGTAACTTATACAGCACCTTTCACAGCTGCAGGGTAACTGAAATGTTTTACAGCTAAATTTCTTTTGAAGTACAGTGGCTATTACAATGCGGGGAATACAGTAACTAATTCATCCACAACAAGAAAGCACAATAGGAATGTTTTAAAAGAACAAGTTCCCCTCTGTGTAGTGATTATAACAAGATCAGCCAGTTAGACCTCATATAATTTGAGCTCCCTGTTTGGGGCTGTTAATTAATGAGGGAGCCCTGGCTGACAGATAAAAAGAGGAGTATCAGAAGTCCTGTTCATTCCAAAACCTGCAAGTTGGGATGCTCCAATATCAACAGGTTAACTACCAGAGAGGTAGTTTGAGAGGTAGTACTGGAGTCAAGAACTCTTCATGTGTAAATAAAGGGTGACTTAGGCGTTGGGTACTGGCCTCTGTGGAGTTATTTTGCTCAGTTTCTTGGATGTAAGTTTATAGATGAATGTTGGTTGTCACCGGCAGAATGTCACTGCTTTTTCAAAATTGTGTTGTGGAGCCTTTTATTGGACTTTAGTTGAGAATCTTCTCTAAAAGACAGAACAACCAACAACGCAGCATGCCTTCAGTACTGCATTGGAAAGTCAGCCTGGATAATCTACTGTGCTAAAGTTTCTGAAGTAGGTGCTCGAGCCCCTTTAGCTCATAGACAAGTATATTATTAAACCTTGACTTTTGACAAGTTAAATGGTGACTCATTGGCTTATGTTGAATGTCTGGTTGTTTACCTGTTGATACTGGAGCGTCCCAACTTGCAGGTATTAAATGATTTTTCCTTAATGTTGGAAATCAGAAATACACACCTTTCATTCTATTATTCAGGACAGATACAAGCATCATATAATATTTCAACAAAATTAAATTACCTGCTTATAATGTATTCAAAAATGAGCAAGTGCATTAGGGCATTACAGTTCACTTAGGGAGTCAGAGTTGCTGTGGTAACATGCACTTTTATGTGCATGTTGCAAACTGCAGCTATGGATAGCGATGGTAGAGACTCCAATGTTCTTTCCATCACATGGCTAACCAAAAGTGTCTCCTATTCTTACCTACTTGCCATTGACAATGTGCTGGAAGGATTTGCAAGTTGGTACCCTACCTGCTTGGCCACATTATGAAAGTATGTTCGTTGACAATTAGGTCCTGGGAAGTCAAAATCAAATCTAGAAATTGTGGCTCAGAAACAGAGACACTACCCTTTGTGCCACCATACGTCTGAAATAATAAGTGTACAATGATGTAATTGGATTAAATCTCAGCCAAATTAAATGGAATGGTGACTCAGAACTGTAAGATTCTATGAATCAAACCTTTTCAAATAACAGAAATGAATTCAAACAATGTTTTTTTCCTTTTTGTTTCAGGGTGGAAGAAAAAGGTGAATGCTTCAATTTTCTTCGTATCTTTCAATGTGAATTGAGCTTAGTCTTCTCTTATTACAATGAAATAAGTTAATCTTTCCTTTGTTGAATATAGAACCCAAGTCAAAGAAGCAACACAACGTGATTTTGGTAAGTATCTGAGTAGGGGATCCACTTCTGCTTTTAAAACAATAATTTTTGCACAAGGTGTGTCTTTTTTTTGTAAGCAAGATTGTTCTACACTGTCTTTTCCAATCCTCCTCTAGGAACGTAAGAGCTCTAAATGCTGATTTGATTCGATAGTGAGTGCAGGTTCACTCCAGAAGATTAGTATTTTCAGTATTTTGTTAGTGAAGTCCCTTAGAAACTAGAATATCATGATTTCCAAAAGAAATGTGAATGTACCAGTGCATCTCTGAAATCTGGATGAATTAATAACCCTGTATGCCAAGCAGATAGCTCCATTAAAATCTGACCTTAAACCATTTCCCTCCCTGCACTTGTAGTTGTGCAGATAAGGGGCACTGAAATTAAGCCAGACACCACATTGTGTATTATTTTCCTCTGTCAGTGTATTATCAAGCGTCAAAATAAAATCTTGGAGCAGTTATGTTTTGATTTCATAATTGGGTCCATAATTAGAGCTTGTTTTCTATATTCTCCCAACACAATATTGCAGTCATTACAGATCATCAACGTGTGGAATGCTGTTTGATGAGCAGATGTTCTTCCTCTGTTCAAAGAAAATATTTGCTTTTCTAGTTTTTTAAAAAAAAGTCATTCACAGGATGTGAGCATTGCTAGCCTGACTGGCACAGATTATATATCCCCAACAGCCCCTCACTGCTGTTATTATGTAGGAAACGCGGTTGTCAAATTGGTCACAGCAAGCTCCCACCAACAATACTGCCCAGAATTTTATTTGACGGAGAAATATTTGCCGTGACACAAGAAAATAGTTTATCTGCTCTTCTTGAAATAACATCATGGGCAATGTTCCTCCTGATTTATTTTTCATGGACTTCCAAGGTCTGGGTGCAGTAGTGGCTTCCAGATTTGGAAGTAAAATGTAGGTTTTGTTGCGGAATTCATCAACCTACAGCCCAAAATGATCGATAGCTGCTGAACCCTGGCAGTGGGCCGTGCAAGTCCCGGCATGGGTAGTGTTGTAGAACAGAAAGACCTAGGAGTTCAGGTACATAGTTTTTTGAAGTTTACATACATATAGATAAGGCGGTTAAGAAGGCATTTAACATGTTAGCCCTCATTGCTAAGATCTTTGAATATAGGAGTTGGGATGTTATGTTGAGGATGTACAGGACAGTGGTGAGGCCTCTTCTGGAGTACTGTGTCCAGTTCTGGATGCCTTGTTTTAGGAAGGATGTTATTAAGCTAGTGAGGATCCGGAAGAGATTTACCAGGATGTTGCTGGGAATGGAGGAGGATTTGAGTTTTAAAGAGAGGCTGAATAGGCTGGGACCTTTTTCACTGGAGCTTAGGGGCTTGAGATGTGATCTTATAGAGGTTTATAAAATAATGAGGGGTATAGACAAGGTGAATGGCAGGTGACTTTTTCCGAGGGTGGGGAATTCCAAGACTAAGGGGCATATTTTTAAGGTGAGAGGAGAAAGATTTAAAAAAGACATGAGAGACAATTTTTTAATGCAGAGAATGGCACATGTGTGGAATGAACTTTCAGAAGAAGTGGTGGATGTGGTTACAGTTACAACATTGAAAAGATATTTAGGTAAGTACATGAATAAGAAATGTTTGGAGGGATATGGACCAAGTGCAGGAAGATGGGACCAGTTTAGTTTGGGATTATAGTTGACATGGTCTGGTTGGACCGAAGGGTCTGTTTGTGCTCTGTATGACTATGACTGTAAAATCACTCCCATTCATGCATGTGTTAGTAATTTGATTGTTTGTCCTGTCTGCATTTTGGACTGTATTAAGCACTGTGTTTTTCATTCATAAGTAGGAAATGAGAACACTATGGTTTGTTAAATCAACAAATTAATGAGATATATTATGAAATATATAAATGAATAGGAACATGGATTTTAACTTTTAGTCTGGTCTTGATGTTTCACGATATTATCTGATGTAGAAACTCTTGCTTCGGCCTATCCAATGGAAGGTATGTGTGTATGTTTTGAATTTAAATGGTGTCAAGTGCAGACTTACATTTTCCTAGCTTCCCTACTTCTAGTCAAATCAAAATGGTCAATGAATCACAACATAGAGTTTAACAGAATAATACAAAATGTAAGCCTGCTGAATGTGCTATGCATTTCAGGAAATGATTACACACAACACAATCTTTGATGGAGAAGCTGTTGATCCAGGTAAAGAAACATTTCATTACCTTTTATAAGATTATACGTGTCATTTTTAGTTTGGCAAGCTGTAATTAGTGGAATGTCACAGGGAGCAGTGTTAGGGTTTCAATTATTTCCAATCTTGGATGAAGGGACAGAGGGTAACGTTGTTGATGACACAAAGCCAGGCTGGTGCGAGGCAAGATTTATACATATTAAATCATGTTTTTAAAAGAGTTTGGTTTTGAATACTAGCAGTGTATCGGTTTGGTCTATGCAGGAGTTAAGTAATGAACTAGGTAAGTATTTTCAGATCCATGGTCTTAAACCAGTTTATGTCAGAGAGTAGATGACTGAAGCCTCCTAGATTGTTAATGAAAGTTTGTTTATGTGGTGGCGTTTAGTGACAGGAGAGGAAAGAAAATTGAAGCACTAGCTAAGCACAAGATAGGATGAGCAAGCTTTTAAACAAAATTTTGTTAAAATTTTTTGAATTCAGTTCAAAAGGAGACCTGACTGAAGCCAGATGTGAGAATAGTTTCTCCTAGAAAGTTTGTCCTGAACAGTTAAGAGAAGTAAGCTCGGTGTAAGAGTTTGTAAAAGCCTCCAAACCAGGGGTACATGGTTATTCTCAAAGGCAAGACCCCAGTTGTAGCAGTTAAAATAACAGACTTTGTCACTCATTGTAGCAGAAACTGAGAGAAAAAAGCAACAGTTAAGTCAAATCTACATCTTGTTGGGAATGGAAAAGTTTTCTTTACTTTTAAGTAACTACAAAATGATGGTGTTGAGAGTACATGAGACTTCATTGTGCCATGAATTTTGAAATCTTTCAAACTATTTAGGTAACATGATTTGCATAATTTTATTTTATTTTTATTTAATTTGTTTCTAATAAACTCACGTTTTGTCGTTAATACTAAATCTTCAGCCATGTGCATATGTGTTTCAGAGATACACCACAATAATAAACAAAATCAGGTCATATTTCATTCTTAGATCGGGATTAAATAGTAACATTAATTAGGACCATAACATAGGACAGCAAACTGTGATGAGGACACGAAAGACCCTGCAAAGAGATATAGGTGGCTTGAGCAAGTGGACAAAACAAATTTGCAAAAGGAGTGTAATGTGGGAAAAAGTCAGCTTGTCCACTTTGGTAAGAAGAATAGAAAAACAGTGTATTATTTAAGTGAAGAGAGACTGGAGGACTTTGCAGTACAGAGAGATTTGGGTATCCTGGCGTGTGAATCATAAAAACGTAATGTGCAGATGCAACAAATAATTAGGAAGCCAAATTGAATGTTGCAAGGGAAATGGAGCATAAAAATAGAGAATGCCTAATACAGGGGCTTGGTGAGCTTACATTTGTGTGTCATTTTTATTTCTTAAGGAGAGATATAATTGCTTTGGAAGCGGCTCAGAGAAAGTTGAACAGGCCATTTCCTGCGGTGAAAGGGTTGTTTTATGAGGAAAGTTTAAGAATTCAAACTGTACTCCTTGGAGTTTAGGGTAATGCGAGATGATCTTATCAAAACATCTAGAACTCTGAGGGAACTTGATAGGGTAGATGCTGAGACGATCTTTTTCCTAATGGGGAAATCTAGAACTTTGGGAAACATGTTAAACACAAGAGGTCTCTCAGTTAAGACAGAGTTGAGGATGATCTTTTTCAATGAGTAATTAAACTTTGGAGTTATCTTTCCCAGACAACAGTGGGAGTTGAGACCTTTGACACATTTAAGGCTGAGCTAAACAGATATTTTTTTTTGATCAACACATGAGTCAAGGGTGAAGGGCCTAGGCCGGAAAGATGGAGTTAAGGCTACAATCAGATCAGCCGTGATATTGGTGAACGGTGCAGCAGGTTCAAGGGTCTGAATAGCCCACTCCTGCTCCTATTTCTCATGGTACTTTGAGGAATGATTTTTTTTTCATGAAAAATTATAAGTTGGTTTCCTTGCCATTTCCTTCATTTTTTATGATGGTGTCTATCTTGATTTCTCCTGCTACATCTTTAGTTTCAGACTGCTCATATTTACTTCTTATTACTGTTTCTGTCTCCATTTGAAGCATTCTTTCCCTTGATATTCTTCTCAGAGAAACTATCACCTTTCCCTCTCCAGTTACAAGCCATTTCTTCATAACCATGAAAATAAAGCTTAGCTCGGAATGTAATCAACTTGTGATTTCCTTCAAAGTGCACCTCTTCCATATACATAACATTCTCCTTAATTCTGCAGGTATAAAATGAAATGCCAGAGGGGATGGTGGAGACATTTAAAAGGCATCTGGAAGGGTACATGATTAGGAAGGATATGGGCCAAATGCTGGCAAATGGGACAAAATTTATTTAGGATATCTGGTTGGCTTGGACAAGTTGAACCAAAGGGTCTGTTTCCATGCTGTGTAACTCTATGGTTCTACTCAATGCAATGGCAGAATCACATCATTTTGATCAAATGCATGACCTTAATTCTGTAATGAAATTCTTGTTTCCTCAATTTAGTTGCAGGACTGTTTGTATTAAAAAGGAACCGTTAACTCCCTCAAACTTTTCAGACAACTAAACAAACTTGAAACAAAAACAGAAATTGCTGGCAAAACTCAGCAGGTCTGGCAGCATCTGAGGGGGTAAAAAAATAGAGCTAATGTTTCAAGTCTGGTGGTTCATCATCAGAACCTACTGCTGAAACGTTAACTCTACTTTCTGCCCACAGATGCTGTCAGACCTGTTGGGTTTTGACAGCAATGTCTGTTTTTGTTTCAGATCTCTAGCAGTCACAGTTCTTTGTTTTAATAAATGACCCTAAAATACGTTGCTTCCCTTCCAGACATTTTGACTTGTAAGGATGCACAGTTAGAAATGAAATTGAGCAATACAATTCATTGTTCTTTTCTGTCCTTAAGGACAATTTTCATATTACATTAATTTGACATTATCAAACTCTGTCCATGTCTTTACTCACAGCAACTTCTATTCCCCCAACACTCCTGAGCAGCCAGAGACTTGTTAGCTCCCGCTTGAGCAACATTTTGACTTTAAAATCCCTCCCAATGGCTTACCTTTCCCATTTCTATAACCTCCTCCAACCCCCCAACCCTCTGTTCTTCACTAATTCCGTCCTCTTCTCCATTCTTAATTATAATCGCTCCCTCGTTGGAGGCCATGCCTTTAGTTTCCAAGATCCCAAGGCCTGGGATTCCATCCCTGCACCTTTCCATCTAATTTCCTCCTTTAAAAAATATATGGTTTTATTTTTCACCAAGCCTTTGGTCTAATTTTGAGGTCAATTTATTACTTTGTTTAAATAATGGCCCTGGGAAGTGCCTTTGGACATTTTATTACATTGATGGTACTATATAAAATGTTGTTATTATTTACTTACTGCTTAATATTTACTGGGTGTGTCAATACATCATGAAAGTTTCTAGTAATCTGCCAACAGGAGGGCAATTACTTATTGCTCTAGTTATTAGTTCATGTTAATGGGGAAGGTCGGTGGCTACATTTTCCACCAGCTCCAAGATGCTTTCCAGAATGGAAAAGCAAGTTCATGAATCCTACAACTTTAACTAAAAGAGTCACATTGAACTCAAAACAGTAAAACGTTTCTGTCTTCACAGATGCTGCCAGACCTGCTGAGTTTCTCCAGTACTTTCTGCTTTTATTTCAGATCTCTAGCATCTGCAATATTTTCCTCTTACTTGAGTGTTTGACTAGCTTGGTCCCCAATAAAGGGATCAATTAGCTCCCTCTTCTTTGATTTCACACAAGATCTCAGATTTGAAATTGCATTGATTCCAACCATTACACTTACCTTTCTTTAGACCATTATCCTATTTCAAGTTTAAATATATCTGATTACCAGCATAACTTGAAAATACAACATTAAAATTTACAAAACTTCTCTGTTAAGGCAGGATTACTAGCCAAAACAAATGTAGGAATTCTTTGATATTAATGCAGTGTGTGAAATCTGAAGCCCATTTTTATCACCTTTTATGAAGATGATTTAATCCTGATTTGGGTGACTGAATTAGAAATCAGTTCAAGGAAGAATTTTATGATTGTGGAATGAATTCAACATCAGTGAGGTTGACTGTAACTGTTACTCTACGTAGACCTTACAAGCCAATCTGTCATAATCAAAAATCAAGAGGGGAGGCTCACTCCCTCTTCTGTAGGGCATCAGCAGTTAGGTAATAAATTCTAATGACCGCCATACTCTGAAGTATAGACAAATTAAAATAGGCATTATTTACTTGGAAAACAAGTAAGTTAAAATGTCAAAATTTTGTGTTATTTAGTTTTTGTGCATAGCCCACAGAATTAATTGATTCACTCAACTCATTCATGTACTTTTTGAAAGAAACCTACTTATACTGAATGTTTTCTTCAATATTTAGTAACAGGCAATGTGTATCAGTATAACACAAACTCTGGAGCCAGACGCTGGAAGGATACCAAGTTGCCCATGAAAGATTATGGAAATGTTCGAGATGCAACTCCTAACTTAATGTCCAATATTAACAACAAGACAAACTTTGCACAAAATAGCAACGTGAAAGATGTAAGTGCGGACCAGACCGAAAATCAGAAGACTGACAATGTCCAAACCTCCCTGAGACTAGCTTCAAAGCTCGGAAAACAAAACAAAGTCACAGGACAACTACTGGAACCACCTCAAACTCTCAATTCTTTGTCTCAAGTTTTGCCAAAACGAGTGTAAGACAAACATAGAATTTTGTGAAATAACTTAGAATGGTTGTGTTTTAGAGTATTTCTCAATGCAACTTCAACTGATATTGGAATCTGTCATTTCTTTGAAAAGGCAAAAGAATTCTACTAAAATGTCCTGAATGTTTGCATAGTTTAGTCTAGACAGCTGGGTTTAGTAAGCTTGGATTTATTTATGCAGTTACAGAGTCAGAAATATGTCAGAAGTTAAATACTGAGAGGGCATTCAAACCAGGGAGCAAATATCTGATCTGACAAACTTCACTGTTGTTTCTTCTGAGTTGAAGCATTTGGTAACATAAGCAAGCAACAACAACTTGCATTTATGTAGCGTGTTTAGCTTAACGAAAGTATGCTACATTAATTACATCTTTTATCAATATTTCTAGGTCTTCAATTACCTTTTAATTTAATAGTTAGCAGAAGAAAACCTCAATGTCAGAACAAATCTCAATGTGCTCCATATCCATCAATATGTGTAATCTCGAATGTGTTGTTACTTTTCTTTTGTCCTCAGTACCAAGAGTGTGATATGTTACTCTTTTGTTTTGCAATAGTCACATACCTGAGGGAGAATTTTAACTTTTTAGAATCTGGGCACAGTGGGTGTGGGCAGTAAATAAACAGTAAAAAAAAAGTCTTCATCTGTCTGTACAACGTATTGAATTGCAGTTGCTCTCATATATAAAAAAACTGAGCAAACATTTCATTCCTGAAACAACTTACAACGTTTCCTGAATTAACTTTCAAGTGATTGCTGCAGTGTTATTGTTTGCACTGATAACTTAATTTTAAATATTATTGGACTGTTACATAATAACGTCTACCAAAATGTGATGTGTATCGTTTCAAAACCGATCTGTGTTATGACTGAATATTTATCTGGAGCTTGGAAATGCTGTGGAAATGCAGGGTAAGGCAGAATGTGATCAATTGCCTTTGCTAAGTAATAGCAGAGATATTCCAGTGGACAGATAGCTGTTGGAGCAGCAAGAGTGGGGTTGTGCATTTGCATCATGTGGAATTCCTAATGCAGTGAGTTCCGAGGGAGTTACCTGGGAAACTGAATTTTTGATGGCGATTTCCCTGCGTCAGAGACAGTATGTTCCTGTTAGTATGAAGGGCAAGCCTAGTAGGTGTAGGGAATGCTGGATGACTAGAGAAATTGAGGCTCTGGTCAAGAAAAAGAAAGAGGCATATGTCATGTATAGACAGCTGGGATCAAGTGAATCTCTAGAGCAGTATAAGTACAGTAGGAGTATACTTAAGAGAGGAATCAGGAGGAGAAAAAGGGGACATGAGATATCTTTGGCAAATATGTTTAGGGAGAATCCAAAGAGATTCTACAAATACATTAAGGGAAAATGAGTAACGAGGGAGACAATAGGGCCCCTTAAAAGATAAACAAGGCCATTAATGTGTGAAACCACAGGAGGTGGGTGAGATACTGAATGAATATTTCACTCAATATTTACTATGTTGAAGGATATGGAAACTAGAGAACTTGGGGAAATGAATAGTGATACTGAAATAACTGCTCAGAGTCTGGTATCCCGTCAACAAGTTATCCTCTATTTACTGGGGCACTGTACACTGACAATGACCAGGCAGCTCTGAGTCAGTCCCCTGAACTGAGGAGATTCTAAGTCCCCTGTTTATATTGGTCTACCAGGGCATCCTGATTGGCCCAGGTTAATAACCCCAATCAGGGATCTTCTAGTCAACAAGGTCCACCTAATTCCAATCACTACAGATATCTTGAAAAGTGTCATATTACAGAAGAGAAGGCACTGGACTTCTTAAAACATATAAAGGTGGATGAATTGCTGGGACCTGATAAGATGTAACCCAGAACTTTGGGGAAGATAGAGAAGAGATTGCTGGACCCCTCACTGAGATATTTGTATCATCGATAGCCACAGGTGAGGCGCTGGAAGACTGGAGAGTAGCTAATGTTGTTCCAGTATTTAAGAAAGGTGGTAAGGAAACATGAGGGTGCTATAGACCGGTGAGCAAGTGGTGGGCAAGTTGTTGGAGGGAATCCTGAGGGACAGGATTTACATGTATTTGGAAAGGCAAGGACTGATTAGGGATAGTCAACATGGCTTTGTGCATTGGAAGTCATGTCTCACCAACGTGATTGAGTTTTTTGAAGAAGTGACAAAGAAGATTGATGAAGCCAGTGTGGTAGATGTCGACTATATGGACTTTAGCAAGGTGTTCGACAAGGTTCCGCATGGTAGACTGGTTAGTAAGGTTTGATCACATAGGATCCAGGGGGAGCTAGACAATTAGATACAAAATTGGCTCGAAGGTAGGAAACAGGGTGGTGGCGGAGGCCTGTGACCAGTGGTGAGCCGCAGTGCTGAGTCTGCTGCTTTATGTATGTAAATGATTTGGATGTGAACATGGGGGTATGGTTACTAATATTGCAGGTGTCACCAAAATTAATGGTGTAGTGGACAGTGAAGGTGGTTACCTCAGAGTACAATGGAACCTTGATCAGATGGGCCAATGGGCTGAGGTGTGGCAGATGGAGTCTAATTTAGATAAATGTGGGGTGCTGCATTTTGGAAAGGCAAATCGGAACTTAATGGTAAGGTCCTGGGAAGTGTTACTGAACAAAGAGACCTTGGGGTGCAGATGCATAATTCCTTGAAAGTGAAGGTGCACATAAACAGGGTGGTGAAGAAGGCGTTTTCCACACTTGCCTTCATGGTCAACGCATCCAGTGGAGGAGTTGGGACATCATGTTGCAGCTGCATATGTCATTGTTGAGGCCAGTTTTAGAAAATTGTGATCAATTCTGGTCTCCCTGTGATAGGAAAGATGTTGTGAAACTTGAAAGGGTTCGGGAAAAGGTTTACCAGGATGTTACCAGTATTGGAGGGTTTGAGCTATAGGGGTAGGCTGAATAGACTGGAGCTATGTTCTCTGGAGTGTCAGAGGCTGAGGGGTGGCCTTATAGAGGTTTAAAAAATCATGAGGGGCATGGAAAGGGTGAATAGCCAAGGTCTTTCTCCCCAGGTAGGGGTGTCCAAATCTAGAGGGCAAAAGTTTAAGATGAGAGGGGAAAGATGTAAAAGGGACCTGAAGGGCAAGTTTTTCATGCAGAGGGTGGGGTGTGTGTGGAATGAGGTGCCAGAGGAGGTGGTGCAGGCTGGTACAATTACAACATTTAGAAGGCATTGGATAGGCACATGAATAGGAAGGGCTAGAGGAATACGGGTTAAATGCTGGCAAATGGGACTAGATCAGTTTAGGATATCTGGTGGGCATGGACGAGTTGGACCGAAGGGTCTGTTTCTGTGCTGTATAACTTAATGACTGTGGTAATCAGAATTTTGGGGTCTCCATATATTGCAATCGCACATTTATAAGATGTCCATCCAGTACGAGCACAAGGGCTTATTATTGATTGGTAGGCAAACAATATTAGTGTTCTTGTATTGTCAATGACAAATCGCAAAAAAGGGACATTTGTTTCTGCTATAACATGCAATTTGCTTGAAGATAAACTTGATTTCACATTATCCTCTGGCTATTTATTGGTTACAGTTTACAACATTTCAACAATGCACAAATACATTCTTTTGAAAACGAACTGAATATTTATGCGGCAATTTAGCACTAATAAAATTAGGAAACCGTTTGTACAGAAGTCATGGAACCTGTGTCCACTGGAATAAGACTGAAGGTGACTTTACAGTTTGTTTCATTCCCTGATCTAATTTGCTGGTTTATCACTCACTACCAGCTCGTCATAAAGCCCACCATTTGCTTCCTAAGGCACACTGAAGTCAATCAATCATTGAAAAAAAATTGATATTTAATCCATGGGCGGATTTTGAAATCTAGTACAGTTGCTATAGCGTTTAGATGACTCGTTACAGGTCAGTGAAACAGAAGCAGACATGAAATTTGCATATAATGCAAGCAGGTTTCTTGGAAAAGAAAGACATGTTGTTTTCTTGTAGAGGGCAGGGAACAGGGCAACTTGCCTCTTTTCCAAGAGAGTCTGTGCCAAGTAGAAGTCAGCTGCTGCCAAAATCTCTTTCTGTCTTGCCTGCAGAGGGCAGCAGCGGCTCAGTAGTCAGCACAGCTCCTTTGCAGAGCCAGGGACTCGGGTTTGATACCACCCTCAGGCGACTGTGTGGAGTTTGCACGTGCTCCCCGTGTCTGCATGGGTTTCCTCCAGGTGCTCAGGTTTTCTCCCACAGCCCAAAGGAGGGCAGTTTGGGTGGATTGGCCATGCTACATTGCCCCGTAGTGTCCAGGATGTGTAGATTAGCTGGGTTAGTCACAGGGTATGCAGGTTTATGGGGCTGGCGTGGGTCTGCATGGGATGCTGTTCAGAGGGTTGGTGCAGACTCCATGGGCTGAATGGCCTGCTTCCACATTGTAGGGATTCTACGATGAAAGATAAGCAGGCTAGGCAGATTCAAAGTCTAGAGCTG